GAGTCCTGAAAAATATAGTTTGACCTTCGGTTACCCATGACCTACCCTCTTTTGGGAGAAAGACCATTTTAAGAGACTAGAAATTCTACTGGATTTAGAAGCCCTGGGTGAGGCCTGTTCTAAGACTCACAGAGGTGGAGGGAAACAAAACCATTGGGTCTTCTTCCCTCTAGAACTTATTAAGGGTTAAAGGTAAAGGCACTTTAATGTTGTTAAGTCTAATTACTAAAGAGTATAACTTTTTTTTTTTTTTAGAGTGTAACTGTTTACTTTTGAATTCTTTTTTTTTTAGGATATATTTACTGTTTATTTACACATTTCCAAATCCAACCTCTTCTATTTTTTTTATTAATTTCTTTTTGGCGTAACAGAATTCATTGTTTATGCACCACACCCAGTGCTCCATGCCATATGTGCCTTCCATAATATCCACCACCTGGCTCCCCCAACCTCCCACCCCTCCCCCTTCAAAACCCTCAGGTTGTTTTTCAGAGTCCATAGTCTCTCATGGTTCATCTCCCCTTCCAATTTCCTCAACTCCTTTCTCCTCTCCAACTCCCTATGTCCTCCATGTTATTTGTTATGCTCCACAAATAAGTGAAACCACAGGATAATTGACTCTCTCTGCTTGACTTATTTCACTCAGCATAATCTCTTCCAGTCCCGTCCATGTTGCTACAAAAGTTGGGTATTCATCCTTTCTGATGGAGGCATCATACTCCATAGTGTATATGGACCACATCTTCCTTATCCATTCGTCCATTGAAGGGCATCTTGGTTCTTTCCACAGTTTGGCGACTGTGGCCATTGCTGCTATAAACATTGGGGTACAGATGGCCCTTCTTTTCACTACATCTGTATCTTTGGGGTAAATACCCAGTAGTGCAATTGCAGGGTCATAGGGAAGCTCTATTTTTAATTTCTTGAGGAATCTCCACACTGTTTTCCAAAGTGGCTGCACCAACTTGCATTCCCACCAACAGTGTAAGAGGGTTCCCCTTTCTCCACATCCTCTCCAACACACGTTGTTTCCTGTCTTGCTAATTTTGGCCATTCTAACTGGTGTAAGGTGGTATCTCAATGTGGTTTTAATTTGAATCTCCCTGATGGCTAGTGATGATGAACATTTTTTCATGTGTCTGATCGCCATTTGTATGTCTTCATTGGAGAAGTGTCTGTTCATATCTTCTGCCCATTTTTTTAATATGATTGTCTGTTTTGTGTGTTGAGTTTGAGGAGTTTTTTTTAAAAGATTTTATTTATTTATTTGACAGACAGAGATCACAAGTAGGCAGAGAGGCAGGCAGAGAGAGAGAGAGGAAGGGAAGCAGGCTCCCTGCTGAGCAGAGAGCCCGATGCGGGGCTTGATCCCAGGACCCTGAGACCATGACCTGAGCTGAAGGCAGAGGCTTAACCCACTGAGCCACCCAGGCGCCCCGAGGAGTTCTTTATAGATCCTGGATATCAACCTTTTGTCTGTACTGTCATTTGCAAATATCTTCTCCCATTCCGTGGGTTGCCTCTTTGTTTTGTTGACTGTTTCCTTTGCTGTGCAGAAGCTTTTGATCTTGATGAAGTCCCAAAAGTTCTTTTTCACTTTTGTTTCCCAGGTGCCCTAGCTTTTGTTTCCTTTGCCTTTGGAGACATATCTTGAAAGAAGTTGCTTTGACTGATACTGAAGAGGTTACTGCCTATGTTCTCCTCTAGGATTCTGATGGATTCCTGTCTCACGTTGAGGTCTTTTTCCATTTTGAGTTTATCTTTGTGTACGGTGTAAGAGAATGGTCGAGTTTCATTCTTCTACATATAGCTGTCCAGTTTTCCCAGCACCATTTATTGAAGAGACTGTCCTTTTCCCACTGTATATTTTTTCCTGTTTTGTTGAAGATTATTTGCCCATAGAGTTGAGGTCCATGTCTGGGCTCTCTACTCTGTTCCACTGGTCTATGTGTCTGTTTTTATGTCAGTACCATGCTGTCTTGGTGATCACAGCTTTGTAGTAAAGCTTGAAATCAGGTAACGTGATGCCCCCAGTTTTATTTTTGTTTTTCAACATTTCCTTAGCGATTCAGGATCTCTTCTGATTCCATACAAATTTTAGGATTATTTGCTCCAGCTCTTTGAAAAATACCGGTGGAATTTTGATCGTAATGGCATTAAAAGTATAGATTGCTCTAGGCAGTATAGACATTTTAACAATGTTTATTCTTCCGATCCAAGAGCATGGAATGGTCTTTCATCTTTTTGTGTCTTCTTCAATTTCTTACAGATGGCCCTTCTTTTCACTACATCTGTATCTTTGGGGTAAATACCCAGTAGTGCAATTGCAGGGTCACAGGGAAGCTCTATTTTTGAATTCTGACAAGTGTTTGTGTGTATACCTTTATGTGTATACACATAGCTCATTAATTTGCTGTATTTCCCCTAGGGGGCTCTATCTGTATATTTTGAAATAAAAAGTTTCCCCATAATTTACACTCATATTATCCGAATCCTGTTATCTGAATCAATGCTTTCCCCTCAATACTATAACTACCATGGAAGAGAGAAGCAAACTCAGATCTTGGAACTCCCCTTGTTTAATGCTCTTGCCTAATAGGCAGAGTTCTAAACAGAGCAGGTAGGACGGCGCCCCATGGATGGACATACCATAAAAAACATTGTATGGCAGTGAAATCTACTGAGCAAGGAAAGACCCAGTTCTCCAAAAGCCAGTCAGACTGCTGGGGTCAGGCCCAGAGAAAGTGTGGCTGTCAGGAACACAGAGGGAGCCTGGCGGGTTCCCAGTTTGGATTTGGACATACTTAGATCAGTGCTTTTGAACCTGCTGCCCATGCATGCAGTCCTTACAAACAATCCAGGCCCAAATGGAAGGTCTGCCTTTCATCAGCTGGGGAAGAGAAGCAAAGATGAGGAAAACTAATAATGTCTCCCAGTAATTAAGGGATTCTGCTTTGCAAGACTCTCTACTCTCTCACTGCATTAAAGTGGCAGGAGCATATCCAGGATATCTGCCAGTCTCAGGAAGGTGTGTCTCCTGCAGCAAGAGCCAACTTCAAGGCTGTTTCCCACCCAACTCAAGCCACCAGTGGCCATCCACACACAGAAAGTTTTTAGTTGCCTGGAGGATTACCCTGCCACATGGAAAATCCTAGAAGCTGGCTTGAAAAGCACACAGTAGTAAAATAGGGGAGAGTAATAGAAATGGCTAAGCAGATAATAATTTGGAAGCTTAAAGCAAAAATAATAAACCCACACCCTACAATAAAGAAGGGAACTTATTCCAGCTCAAATCTGATGGACAACATTTGGCCCTTAGATCCAGTAGCTAAAAAAGAGAGCAGCTCATTCATAAAGTGGACTCAGCACCTTCCAGTTTTATTGACTCTTCCCATAGAGAACCTTAGTCCTACTGAATTACGCAATATACCCCTGTGCTATGAAATGCTGTTTTCTGGAAATGCAGCTTCTAACTACAAATCACAATTGACGAGTTTATTTCTGTTAGTTACAAACTATTGAAATATTGAATTTTATGGTCTATATGGAAATCAACATATTTCACAGCAGGAGCCTAATACTCTTGCTTTAGGAGTAAGATCATTTTCCAGTGGGAAAAATACTGTTATATTTTTTCAACTCTGGAAACCTGTGTTGATTTCCTAAATGCTCAAGTGTGTGTGCATGTGTGTGTATGTGTGTGTGTGTGTATTAATTTTATTGACATTTTAATGGGAGGAGGGCAAGGTATGAGAATAAAACCTATTGTTTACTAGAATCACAGAATCACAAGGCGAAGGGCAATTCAAGATGCGATGAATGGAAAAGCTGAAATGAACAATATCAAAGACGATTTGGATTTCCATGTTTCCACATAATTTGGTCCTTAATTCAGGGTTATGGCTTTATTTCCCCCCTTTCTTACTTTTTTCTCACCTCTTTAAATGAGAGTTCTTGGTTGCTGAAATTGAACTTGGAATGAGAAGGCACAGATCAGGCCAGAAAACCAAACAATAGAACTGATGATGGGGCCAGGGCTCTGGGGGCTTTGCTGTTCAACGGAACTAGGAACACAGAAATGCCATTGCCTTTCTTAGAGCCACGGTCTATTTGGGAGTCATTCCCAATTGTTTTAGGCAATTATTTGCGATCTTCCAAAAGGTAAGTGATTTACTTCAAATGTGCCCTTAGACCACTTGAATGTCATAAATTATTTCATTTCAAAAATTTTCAAGTTATGTGACTATTACTCACATAGAAAAGCTGACTTTCATTTTCCATTACTAGGAATGGAAGAAGTTGTGAGAGAAATATTCCCTTGATACATTCTTGGACAAATGGATATTACAAAATCTACAGTAGTTAATCTGAGAAAATTGGTTTCTCCTTATCCCTCCTTTAGTTAGCATTAATAACAAATGAAGACAGTGCTGAGAGAATCACAGGTCCCTGGCTTCTGAACTTTAACCCAGCATCATGTAATCTCTTATTCCATCTCTTCCTGGCTCTCCTTGCGTGTCTGTAATATACAGTCACCAGATGACGTGCAAATAGCAAGGTCTCAAGCTCACTGGCTATAACAATCCACTCAACACTTCATGTCCCAACATGGCTGCTGAGATGTATCCTTTCTTCATCCTAGCCGGTCATGTCTGAATATCATGTATGATGAGGTCTGTGGTGGAAGTTACATAATGTTCAGACAACTAGTCAAGAATCACAGGTGTTTTCATATTCCAGGTATTATTAATCCAGCCTGTATTTACCTCACTAGAGAGTCTAATGGTGACCTCATTCATTTTTACTGTTACTCGTTTATTATGGGAGATCTCGTTCTCCTCTCTAATCGAACTCCATATTACTATGAGCCAAGGTTCCTATTTTCGAGGAGCAGGAGAGAGAAAAAGATTCACTCAGCACTGAGGCAATGTTTCCTTGCCAAATGCCCCTGAAGAAGCCTGCTTTGGAAACCCAGTACTCACGCCTCCAGTGATACTAACTTCGTAGAAGCTCTGCTGGTTGGGTCACTCCACTCTGAAAAGAAAGGGCACATGCAATTATTACCCACATTTCCTACTGTCAAATGATCACTCTGGATGAAATCGGTCTTCAAACATGCAGCCCTTCCAGTTACACACACAGATGCGTGCACACACACACACACACACACACACATATATTTTTAGCATCCTGTCATAAATCACAGATGAAAAAGTAAAGGAACCAATTGGATATATCACAATATGACTTTTTGCCACTGTCAATTCATGTTTTCATGATATCAGGTAGGAAAGAGAAGAAAGTAGGGGAGGAGATGACATGAATGTTTGGACTAAGTGTAATTTTTAAAAAATACTTACTTTGTAAGGTGAATCCTGGAGTCAGGTGTTGGGATTCCTATAAGGAGGAACACATGAGACAAATATTAGTGAAATACTACAGAGGGAACAAAGGGTGTATTTGTTATTATTGAAGGCAGAACTTGCCTAGTGTTCACCAAAAAGAAGCCACTCTTAACAATTTCATTAAGTTGGATTCTATCCCTAGGTCTATTTGAAGGATAAACAATTGCTAGTCACACCTGCCATAACATGACCATAACTGCCATTCCATCAGACTGATGAAACGTGTGCAACATGGGAACGAATGACCCACATGTGTGAAATTCAAGTGTTTAATTTCTCACTTAGCTAGCAATGATGTCTCTAAGGAAGGAAAGAGGCTCTGGTTCAAACTAACAAATGATCCTGGTTTTTGTTGAAGTGTAAACAAGACCAAAATTAATAGATGTGCTCAGTTTCTCCCTTTTATAGGAACAACCCTAATTTTCTACCTTAACTGTGATACATACATGATAGATGGATCTCGTTTTCACAAGACAAGTGTTCTTAAAACTTCATTACAATTTTGGTGACGTACAGGAAGCCATTTGAAATATGCGAGTGAAGCACATTATTTAAAGGGATTTAGATTTGATTTTAAAGTCATCCTGCATGCAACTCATTCATTGATTTTGAGAAATATAGATTTCTACACATGGTGCTTTCTGGGAGCATGGCACACCTGTGTGGATCCTGCCCAAACTCGCAGGCAGAAGCACTATGACAATGGACAGAGCACGCATGGCACCATAGGGACAGAAGGGAAAGAACTGACTACAAGACAAGAGCTTCAAAAGGGAGACAACGAATTCAAGGGAATACAAGAATTGGTTATGTCCACTGCTGCTGTAAGTAATCTAGTTTTGAAGCCTAATCTTGCCACCCTATACAAGGAAAAACAAAAATCACAGCATCATTTGTCTTTAAGAGAAGTAATCAAGGGACGTCTGAAAAAAAAAAAGAGAGAGAGAGATAAGTAATCAAGAACAATAAAGCTGTGCTTTCATGGCAAGTGAATGTTTTGATCTATTTAGCATGATTTTGTTGCTAAGGAGACTTCGCTTCCAGCAAGATCACCACTCCAGAAGACTACCATAAACTCCACATGATATGGGAAAGGTTTCTCAAAGGCTTCTCTACCCTCACTTGATAGAGAACTGACTTTTGACAGAAAACTCTAACATGGATGGCCATTTGATTCCCAATCCTTAGCAAATCATAGATGGCGAGGAAGGGGAAACTGTCCTAGAGGCACAGCCACTGGGAACACTGAGACATGAAAACCGACAGCAAAGGGGGGCAAAGAAGATAACATAGCCAAGTTAGAACTTACAAAGCACAGGAGTCTATGGTTATTTAATATAGAGGCAGGCATTCCTACACATCTTAATAGCTCCTGAGGGCATAATTACAACATAGTCCAATAACCGGTGCTCATCATAATGTCTAAGTTATCAAGAAAGACAAAAGCATGTTTAGGAGAATATTTATAAGAAGTCAGAAAAATATTAATTACATCTCAAAATGATTTGTATTACATGATTCCTACGGAAGGATGGGCCTTTGGTTATCCAAGAATTTTGATTGCCCAGAACACCTCATTTCTTTCCCAATGCCAAATAAATGGGGGGTTAACCATTTGTATGCCCTTCACTATATACAATATTTCTACCCGTTATTTTTTACAAGGGATTTCATTACAATCATATGGGGTAAATTTGGGCTCGTATACCACTGGGAATCAAATGACAAGTTCCAAAGTCAAATAAACCAAACACTTGGTTAGAGAGTAACACATGCAGCTAGCCAGTCCCTGTACTGGTCCCAGGAAGATGGCCCGAAGTTTTAATCTTCATCCAAGTATTCTGGACTTTAGGCCCAAACAGTCAGTTTCTCAAGGCATTGGGGCAGTGATTTATGAAATGAATTTGAGGATTGCATTATTTATTGCATTAGGGTTACTGGAGTTATACATTCTTGATACTTTTTTTTTTTAAGTAGTCTCCACACCCAACGTGGAACTTGAACTCACAACTCTGAGATCACGAGCCAGATGCTCTATTGAGTGAGCCATCCAGGTGCCCCTTTATTACTGTTTTTAATGTTAAGCTGCATAAGACTTTTTAAAACCAGAATTCCAAACAAAGGAAACACCTTTGGATAACACCCAAGTTACCGTACAGACACACCCAATCCCAACTGGAAATAGCTTGGCTGTGTGAAAAATCTGCATTGTTCATGCCATAATTATTGATGCCCATAATATAATTTTTTTTAAAAAGAGGCTTGACTTTGATCTGTGTGTTTCTTTCATAGGCATGTCACATAAGTAATTTTAGCAACAGAATATAATGACATCCAATTGTTTTCACAAGCTTAAGTGAGAATATTTTCAGTAATAACTGTGATGATAAGCCCACAATCAGACATTCCCACAGGATCTTGGTCCAGAGCAGTGACTGGCAAACTTTTCCTGTAAAGGGCAGGATACTCAAGATTTTAAGCTTTGGGGTGGGTTGGGCATATAGTCTCTGTCACAAGTACTCAACTCTGTCACTGCCCTGCAAGAGCCTTCGCAGCTGATATGTAAATGAATCAGTGTGGCTGGTTTCCAAGAAAGCTTGTGTTATAGACACCAGAGTTGGATCACCTCTGTGAAGCCTTTACTGAACTTCCCCTGGGGATACTATCAGTTCCCTCACTTCTGCTCAGCAGTGTACTCCCTTCCTTGTGAGTCCTTTTATTCCTTCTGAGAAAAGGGCATTTTCAATTTGGAATGTGAGCGTAAATTTCAGTAAGTTGGGAATTTTCAACTGTGTCTGTTTTTGTAAGTCTGCAGACTCACTGACTCTCTGAGCTGAAAACCCCATGGGGATTACATGGTTCACACAGGCATGCGTGCGCAGATACATGCACAGATAGCACAGATGGGGAAACTGAGGCTCGTAAGAACTGAAGCTGGACCATCTGGCTAGTGATTGGCAGAGCCAGGATTAAAAGCAGCCAGGTCTGTAGCCCCCAAGGCGATTCTCCGGCTCTAACATGAATGTACAATATGGATGCTTTCTGAGAAGATGGTGTCACCTCGGTCCAGCACGAGTGCTGAGTATTTACTGTACATGGCCATGTTTTGGAAAATGGACTTTGAACCAAGGCATCTGTAAGCCTGTGTGATAAACACATCGTCCTAACACCTGAATCAAAATGCTGGTTTGCTGATTTATTAGCTGGGTGATTCAGAGCACATTATTTTACTCCGTGCCTCAGTTTCCTCATCTGTGAGTTAGGGAGAGTTGAATTACCAATCTCTTTGGGTTTCAATGAGGATTGAATTATTTACTAGATATGATGTGCTTAGAATGAGGCAATGCACATCATGGCATTAAGGTGTTGATGTACTTTTCTTTCAAACCAACATTTTGGCTGGAACCAAGTGAAACAAAAGAGTGGGTGTGTATCCATCCTGGTTTCACCATTTCATGCCAGTTGCCTCTACCTTTATCATGGGGTCGATGGGAGCACAGATAATTGGCAGAAAATGCAACTAGTGCTTGATTCCAAATTGTGCACTTACTACAAAAGCGCATTTAAACAACCAGTTCTATTGTATACGCTTGTAAATGTCAAAATTGCAACTTGCACAAATTATCTCCAAAATTGGAGAACACAGCTGAAAACACTGCAATTGCTGAACCAGGGATGGATTCAATGCCTGAAATGTCTGGATGGATCCCTTGGCAGGGATGTTAAGGATGATTGGGTTCCTTCTTCTACAAATAGTCTAAATTCCTTGACTGGTACTCAAGGTCTTTTATAGAGATGCATTCATTTGCCCTGGGTTCAGATCTCTCTCTGCTTCCCATCACATGAACTCTGAACCAGCCACCTGAGACCACATCAGTACGGATCATGCCATGATCCTACATCTTCTCGTGCCTTAGTCCATCCTGTTCTGCAGTGGAGTGTTCTTGTTTCCAGTCCTTCTCCACCTGTCAAAGTTGTAGGCATCCTACAAATTCTGCCACCTCTCTGAGCACTTCCTCAACACCCAGGGACTGTTAGATACTTCTCTGAACCTCCAATTCTCTGTGAAGACACTTCCTGCACTGTTTTGTCATTTAGCTGATAACCCATGGAGGGTTTTTTCTTCATCCCTAACTTTAAGTCTTATTATATGACCTCAGAAAATGGTTTCTGGATAAACGGATGGATGGATGGATGGATGGATGGATGGATAGATGGATGGATGGTTAATTGGATGGAAGGAAGGAAGGGAGAAAGACATTACTTTTTCTTTTAAAGCATGTTATTAGAATAGTCATGGTGATTTCAGCATTTTAAAAACTGATGGTGAGAAAAAAATCTTACTGGGAGCAGGTGAGGAAAGCAATTAAACATTTGAAGTTTGGGACACCTGCGTGGCTCAGTGGTTTAAGCTTCTGCCTTCGGCTCAGTTCATGATCTCAGGATCCTGGGATCAAGCCCCGCATCGGGCTCTCTGCTCAGCGGGGAGCCTGCTTCCCCTCTCTCTCTCTGCCTGCCTCTCTGTCTACATGTGATCTCTGTCTGTCAAATAAACAAAATCTTTAAAAAAAATTGAAGTTCTATCAATATGATGTGTTGGCATGTAAAGATCTGTGTGCTTATGAACAAGGACTGAAAGGTGACAAAATTGAAAATCGACCCATTAGGGTGAAGAGTATAGATTTTTTAATTAAAAAAGAAAATCTTGGATGTTGTTGTTACATCAACAAGTTGGTCTTCTTAAATGGATGAGCTCATTCTTGTAATTCATCAGTTCTGGACACAGTAACTTGGACAGTGACAGGGCTCTAGGTAGTACAATATACAGGCCAGCATCTGAATATATATGCTCTTAAAGACTCTCCTTTGGGGGACACCTTGGTGGCTCAGTAGGTTAAGCTTCTGCCTTAGGCTCAGGTCCTGATCCTGGGATCCTGGAATCGAGCCCATTATTGGGCTCCCTGCTCAGTGGGGAGTCTGCTTCTCCTTCTCCCTCTGCTCGTGTTTTCTCTCTCTCCCTCTCACTTGCTCACTCTCTCTCCCTCTCTCTCAAATAAATAAAATCTTTAAAAAAAGACTCTGTTTCAGGAAAAAGGAGATTTATATTATCTCGAGGGGCAAGAGGAGGTCTGGATTTTTGTAAAGATTTTATTTATTTATTTTAGAGAGAGAGGGTAAGCAGGAAAAGGAGCAGATGGGGAGGAAGAGGGAGGGAGAAAGAATCTCAAGCAGACTTTGTGCTGAGCATGGAGCCCAATGCGGGGCTTGATCTCATGACCCTGAGACCATGACCTGAGCTGAAACCAGGAGTTGGATGCTCAACTGACTGAGCTACACCGGCACCCTGAGGAAGTCTAGATTTTATAGCACTAGAACATCGAGGCCATTGGTATTTTTAAGACTCCAGTTGGAAGACTGGTACAACTGAAATAAGATAAAGGAAAATGGAGGTAGCAAGAGAATTGACCTGTCCTGGGATGCAAAGTGAGTTCTTCTCGGAGTTTCCGGAAGTATGCATGGCAGTGAGAGGAGCAGGCCAGGAATGGGTCATCTCCTGGTGAGGAAAAACAAAGAAACTTTATTTTGGGGCACTTAGCTAATGAAATGTTTTCTTGGCACTAAATATAGCAGGGTCCTTTATAAATACTTAAGGACTCAGCTGGCTTTAATTGTTTTCAGGAGAACTTAAATCAATTCCGTCTGCTCCCCTGGCCCATTCCGGTTCTGGAAGCCTATCTACGACACAAGGGGCCATCTGACATCCACTCCCACAGAGCCAGGAATAGGGAGCTCACTAAGTCTTGAAGCAGCCTGTCCCACATTGAGACAGTCCGATTACACTATTCCTCCTGGTTGTGAGCTAAACGCCCGTCTCCCAGGAGTCACTCTCTAAGGATCATACTTTGGAACCGCTCAGAATACATCTCATCTCCTCTTCTTCCGCATGGCAAGCCTTCAGCTGGTGGGAGACAGCAGTCCTATCCCCTGGTACTGCCTTGCTCTAGTCTGAGACATTTGTAGCTTCTTTATTCATTCATTGGGAACCTTTAACTTTTCTTCTAGTGCTTGGGCTCCGCATTCTGTCAACTCTCCTAAGTGCTTCCAGGAGGGCCTTCTGATGGCCTGGGGCTCTTCCAGCTCCTGGTATCCTGTTTCCCACGTGATCTGCCCAGCTCGGCGGGGGGAGCGCAGTTCGGTCACTACCTTCGCTCCCTCCCTCTGGATACTCTGATACCCCTTTCCCTTGGCGGAGCCTCACGGTAACAAGGTTGGGCACGTGTCGTTGATTTCTCCATGCAAAGATAAGGCCGCTGAGGAGAATTTGTTCTCATTCACAGAGAAGGTTGCTATGAGATTCGTAGTGCCATTCCGCCCAGCCAGACACAGGGTGCTCCTGTGAGTTCGAGTCTCAACATAGGAAGGAGAGGTCCCTGCAGCTCCCACTCCCCATTATCAACAGGGGCACCTTCCTGATTCCTTCAAACTCCCAGTTTGAAAAGAGCTGCTGTTCAAATCTTGCTTGAGTCTTAGGGCTCATGGCCAACATGATTTACTCGGAGAAGAAGGGTGACTAAATCATAGGCCCAAGGTCCCAGCACCAGGGATGACACAGTTTATGAAGCAGGAGCAGACCAGCCTGTGTTGCACTCATCAGACATTCTGGTGTAGAAACACTCAACATAAAAACCAGTGCAATAATGGACAAAAAGAAAAGCTTTGGGGAGGAGTGGAGAGGATCAAAGTTTATGAAAGGTCTTTTTATTTATTTATTTAGTTAGTTATTTTTAATGAGACAGTTACATAACACTTTCTCCCCATCTTTATGAGTAACATAATTAGTTATTTCAAAGGTAATATTAATAAGAACTCTCAGGTAGCACTAAAACATGTTTTCCCCCCCTTCTATAATTACCCAGTTCAAAAAGAGCCTTTGATGTATGAAGAGTTACTTCATGGATTCATTCACAGCAGCAGTGCTGAAGCAGAATTCGTAAGTATGATTCAGACAAGGGCTGACACAGATTGGAGTCTACCTAGCACTATTTAAAAGGAGGCATTAAGGACATTAAAAATTCATATGAGATTTAGAGGGGATGCTTAACCTACTTAAGAGAGAGACTATTTTCAAGTGTTTTTGAGTTGTGCATTTGTATGCAGTTGATAACGTTCCTATGCTACTTCTGCATTCATCAACACTGGCCCAAAGTAACTCTCCGCGACAAGAGTTGGAAGCCTACTTCTAATTACTGAAGGATTTATTTTACATTTTAGGTGTTTTCTTTTACTGATGAAGGTTGGTCTTCTCCAAAATCTGTCCCACGTAAAACATACAGGTCTTATTTAGCCAAGGGGCAGGAAGGCCCCCGTTGGGATCTGGAAGAGTTGTCTCTTATTGGCAACTAGGCAGTGCCCCTGGGTTTTTGAAAAGGTGTTTCAGGGGCACCTGGGTGGTTCAGTGGGTTAAAGCCTATGCCTTCGGCTCAGGTCATGATCTCAGGGTCCTGGGATTGAGCCCCGCATCGGGCTCTCTTCTCAGCTGGGAGCCTGCTTCTCCCTCTCTCTCTGCCTGCGTCTCTGCCTACTTGTGATCTCTCTCTCTGTGTCAAATAAATAAATAAAAATCTTAAAAAAAAAAAAAGAAAATGTGTTTCAGACACCTGAAAGGATGAACTCCCTCCTCAGAGGTGTACCCCTCTCCCCCAGGTCATCTGAATTGACTCTGTGGCAGAACGGGGTTATCTCAAATCGCTGTCCAAGCATGCCACATTGCTGGCCAGGCCACAAGGAACCACGACCGCGTCTGCATTTTCAGCAACTGATTCTCTATTGGAAATGTGAAATTTCAGGAAATGGCAAGCCGATTCCGTGTTACCACTGATGCATTTGATTAAAGCACAGAAGGTGTAGTTGAAAGGAATATAATTTCCTGAAAGGCTATCTTCAGCAAGAAACTTTGGTGCAAGTTCTTTCACTTCTCAAAATGAGCTAGACCTGTAAAGTGTGAAAAGCTCACAGCAGATTTTCCATTGTCATCCTTTTCATTCACACTTGAAGGATATTAATCTATTTTTATGTTCTTGCTATTCTCAAGATAAGAACACCCATGCATCCCAATCTAACTATACTAAGTCTGCCTGTTCATCAGATAAGGATGAGTACCTGCTGCAGAGTGTTGCCAAAGCTTCAACAACAGGCTCCAGGGCTGAGCACCCGTACTGAACACCAAGAACCACTCCCATTAACAACACAGATGTAGGCATGCATGCACATGAATTGGGTCTGAAGCTCCTTCATCTCCAGGCTCCCTCAATCCTCCCCAAGAAAGAACTAAAGCAGGGGCTCATCTTGCCACTGAACAGTGGTAAGTGAATGCTGAGGACCAGTTCCAAAGCACACATTCTTTCCTCTACCCCAGATAGGTTGACTATTATTGTAGAGTTGACTACCATGGTTAATGGAGAAGGAACGAAGGAAGAAATGATGTGTTATCTTTCAGCATTTGACAAAGAATAGGTTTCACAAGCGACGAGAGTTCTATGTGATCTCTAACCATGGGGTGGATGCTTAAATTAGTGTGAACTGAAGACTTCAAGGTCAAACCCAGAAAAATCAGAAAAGGCCCAATTTTCTTTTTCTTTTTTAAAAGATTTTATTTGTTTGTTTATTTGTTTAGAGCACTAATTGGGGGAGGAGCAGAGGGTGGCATTGAATCTCAAACAGACCCCATGCTGACCACAGAGCCCAATGCAGGGCTCGATCCCATGGCCTTGAAACCAAGATTCAGACATTCAACTGACTGAGACACCCAGGCATCCCTCTCTTTCTTTCTTTCTTTTTTTTTTAATATTTTTTTTTTATCTACTTGAGAGGGGTAGTGTGGAGGGGCCCAGGGAGAGAATCTCAAGCAGACTCCTGCTGAGCACAGGGCCCAACAGGGGGATCAATCTCCTGACCCTGAGATCATGACCCGAACCAAAAATCAAGAGTTGGATGCTCAACCAATTGAGCCATTCCAGTGGCCCAGATAAGGCCCAGTTTTCCACGAGTGATTACTTCTACACCATATTATCCATATCATAGTTCATGGCTAGAACTCTGGTGAATCTAAAACAACTTGTGGGGAGAATCACTTTGTTGGACTTAGACACACAAGCTGGGTGCACCACTGGCTGAGGAGTAGAAGAAAGTCTGGGCTCCAGACTCCCCTAACACAGAGCTGTCTGGCTAGCTGTTCTTTGTAGTAACTAGGATGTTGTCCCAGCCTTGTCTTCCTCAACTTTGTATCTCCAGTGCCTAGTATATAGTGACTAGTTAATATGAGATATTATTATTATTAGTGTTTGAAGTTTCTGTGTTTGAATTAATAATAAGAATCATAGCAAGATTCACCAAGCACTTAAGAGTGTGCCAAGCACTCAGTTTCCACACTCAGTCTTTGTATGCTACAAAATAAAGAGGCAGGAGTTACCATCATACTCCTTTGGAGACACAAGAGATCAAGTGACCTATCCAAGGCCACACAATCAGTAAATGGCTGGGTCTGTTTTGTTCTACTAACTTCTACCAAATATTCATTATGTATAAGACCCTGGGATCTAGAAAGGATACAAAGTCAAGCTCCTCCTCCAGAAGAGCTCACTCTGCTTAACATGCTAACCACCTCCCAAGGGGAATATGCCCAGGTGCTGGAAGGAATCTATTGTGTGAGGCTTTTGGGAAAGGCTTCATAGTGAAGGTGAGAGGAGCCGAGCGTGTGCACATACATGTGTGCATGTGTGTGTCTGCATGTGTATTCCTTTCAGAGGAACATTCTATGTGGTAGATGTTCAAGTGGTGTATGTTTGGGTTAAACAGCATAACATAAATATTAAGGTCCTTACCGTGAAGATTTAACTAAAGAGATGATTAATTTTTCATATAACTATATTCATGAATGAAATGGTGGGAGCTTACATATTTCATTATTGTTGTTAGAGTCAGAATGATCCCCCAAAGATCCCTGGACTAAGAGTAAGGAGAGCTTAACTCATGTCCCAGATTGGCAGAGAGCTACCTGAGTGACCCTGGTCAAGCTGCTTGCCCTCTCTGAGCCTCAGTGTTCCTACCTGCAGCACGTGGGCTTTGGCTGAGATGGCCTCCAGGGGTTCTCGCAGCTGTCCCCACTGTTAACCTCTGCCGCCACGTCTTCAGGCCTGCCGCAAGGGAAAGGGAGCTACTGCATGGCTCAGGGGTCTGGACAGCATGGTGTTGGACATGCATAAGACCTGTCAGGATGAGCCCTGCAAGCAGACCTTGAGCACTGCCTGCATGAGCTTAGCAGACAGGCAGCTCAGGCTCTGTCCAGGGCTCCAGCTGAGAGGGGCTCCATACACCTTGCCCCTCCCCTCTATTGAAATGCGAAGACCAAAACAGCTGCAATTTGGGAAGTACAAATTCTTGTGATGAAGAATAACAGTGGGAGCAGCTGTTTTCAAAACACAAATATGACTGAACAGAAGAAGTCCACAAAATTGGGTTGGAGTTTATTTTCAGAGACTTAGACTTAAGTGA